TCTTTTTTTTTTGAGACAGGGTCTTGCTATGCAGTTCAGGCTGGCCTTAAGTTCACTTTGTAGCTCAAGCTGGTCTCGAACTCACAACGATCCTCCTGCCTCAGCCTCCCGAGTGCTGGGATTACAGGCGTGCACCACCCACTTGGCTTACATATATATACATATATATATGTATATATATGCCTCTTTAGGAATAAGAAATTTTTTTTTATCACAGTAATATGAAGGGGTAACAATTCCTTTTTGTTTTCTCCAAAGTAAGTGCCAAGAAGCAGGAAAATTAAATGTTTCCATATATATAGCACTCAGTTGTAAAAGAAACTTGTTGCTGTTAAAAGCAACAAAAGTATAAATTATTTACATATATTTAGCATTAGCGGTATGCCTAAGAGCAGCTTTTATCCAGGACAGACTAATGGCCCTGGGATAATTCCTGAGAAAATAAGCTACCTTCTGAAAACACACAGTATTACTGTAAATTAACAGTGCAATCTTTCTACCTAAAGGAGAACTTCACTTAAGAAGCCTGTGACATTTGAAGAAGCAGCAACACATTAGAATTAATTGGATAAGGCACAGTTTGACTATTGTAATAGCAAGTATAGTTGGATTGTCTCTTCCAGGTAAGTCTAAGATTGGAAGTAAAATATCATGAAGATTCACAATGCAAAGGACATAGTATAATCTAAGAATACAAGACTTAAATTTTTATTTAACATTGTTGATCATATGCTGATTACACACTGAAACACACTATAACATATGTTCAATAAATCATCACCAATAAAAAGAGAGTACTCACAAGATGCTGATAAATGTTAAAGATGCAGAAAGGAAATATGTAGATTCATTTTACTATTCTCTATGGTTTTGTGCACTCTCAGAATTTTCTACACTAAAGTTTAACAAAAGGAAAAAATAAATAATCTCTGAAGCCCCCGGTGTTCATTTGCCTCAGGAGTCTAATCTTAAATATTTAAAGATTCTTTTGAACAGCAGAGAGTCAAAGAGGAAAGCAGTAGAAATAAAAATATTTCAGTTGCCAAAAAAGCTGATTAAAAAACTCTTTTCAGATCCAAAATAAATAAATAGATAAATAAATAAATAAATGCAATAGCTGGTTTAACTTGTGATAATGTCTCTTTAGGGAGAAAGAGCTACTTGAGATAAAAAAAAATATGGAACAAAATCCTCTGCTTTGGCTGTCACAATGCTGTGACTGAAGTAGCTTACATAGCACGAGTCTAAATCATTTCAGCCACGGCTGCTGTCCTCAATAAAATAGTAGCATATAAAATATAGGGGGTCTTTATAACAGCTATTGTTAATTTCTTATCACCTTGTTTTGAAAATCTGTATCATCTTTATTATTTTTCTGTTTTTGACTTTGTGTTTGTTTTTTTGTTTTGTTTTGTTTTTGGTTTTTTCCTCTTTAAAATAAAATTTTTAAAAATATGCACGGTCTAGAATCTTATCAATCTGAAAACTGTGCCAATTTCTTTGTCCTCCAAAGCTAAGGTTTATATTCCTAAATTCTCAACATCTGCCAGTAACTGTGGAGACAAGAAAAACCTCGTTAGATGAAAACTAAAGACTCAACCAAGTTTTTATCTGCAGATTTGCTGATTTTTGTTCCACAATAGCACACTAATGGAACATAGACAAACTAGTTGTTTGTCTATGTTCAGGTCTTACATTCTCAGTTATTTTTTCACTCATAAGTAAACAGAATTATCAAGGTCTGGCTCTGCATAATTCAAAGCTAGCCAAAATAACAATAAATTGTAGGAAAATGGGACTATCGTGAGGAATAAATATGACCGTGAGAATAATAAGCTCACTATATGGAGCATCTGACGTATCCCAAGCATTTTTCAGAAATTGTCTCTGAGCTCTCCAACTGTCATCTGGATTGGTATTTAACAGCTCCGGTCCACATAGGAGAAGCAGGTTTAGGAGGTTGCCCCAGGTTATACAGGTAATAATTGCTGGGCAGGAAATGAGCAGCCTCTCTTTCTCTCTGTGACTCTATCTTCCCTACCACATTGACGCCCATAAAACAAAGAGGAAATTACCAAAGGATGAGTCCTTTCTATTAACTACAAATTTCTCTACTAAAGCCCTTGAAAGAGTGGCAGAAAATTGCCCATCAGGGTAAAATAGAAACAAACGCAGCCTCCACTTCTGCTTCCCTCCCTTCTCTTCCCCTCTTAATCATTCATAGTTGCTCAAAGTGCTGGAAGAATTTTTGCTCCTTGAATAAACAACCGGGAGGGAAACAATCCCCAGGCCATTTATTATCCCTATTTATGCAACATGCAACGTCAATTAAGTCCCCTAAACAATCACAAAGGTAGCTATTTAGTTATAATTTTGTTGAAATGTTAACAGACTTCTTTGTGTCATTTGCTTCATAAATGGAGAGACTGTATCGACAGTGAAACCATGCGGCAACCTGGCACTGGCCTGCATTTCATTAGGAACCCAGAGGCAGGGGACCTCGAGCGCATTTAAAATTCTGCATTTGAATTTTTATTACTTACGCTGACAATTCTCTAAACGCAAAGTCGTAAATCAGCAGGCAGTACTAGGGCGCCACCTGCTGGAATAACTGGCTGGCTTTGGCTGCCATGTTCCCACCAATTATAAATTCACTAAGTATTCAGTTATGAATTTGTCACACGCAGGCTCCTTTGCCATAAACACTAAAAAAAATCATAATAGACTTGGCAAGGACAAAGAGTATTAACAGCAAAGAAAGCAGAAGCCTGAGCTAGGAAAACATTAAACTGAACATTAAAATGCGTTTGAAATGGGAAAACACAAATTAACAGAGAGGTGAGATTAATGACTTTAGTGAGATGTTTGAAATTAGTTTATATTCTAGCTCATGGTTGGTTTATCTTTCACTTGTCAAAAATTTTCAAGCTAGCAGTTATTTTACGCAGATATGCTTCTTAAGTAGAAACTTATTAAATGAGAATATTTTTATCAACACTAAAAGTTTTTTAAAACTGCTAATATTGAAGGAAAAATTGGAGGTCTAAAAGTTTTTTCCTTTCCCCAGATGTCTAAGGCAATTACTTGGTAAGCTTTTCCTTTATTTTCAATGTTGTTAAATTGGAATTTTTAGCAAAAAGACCGTCATTGTCATAGTTTTCCAAACTTTATTTTTCAAAAATCTGAGACAAATAAACTTATCCATCTCCTGCCTTTGGTATGCATTGTGAAGACAAAAGAAATGTTCTTTGAAGAGGTCTTCATGTCACCAAAGAGTCAACATTCTAAATATCTCCAGCAACTGTGTCCAGCAAGGAAACATACTGAGAAAGACATTAAAGATTGATCTGAATGTGTAGTATCTCTGAAACACAACCTGGAGTTACTTTATTTCTTTGTTAGCAGTTTGTTCTTTTATCACTTTCTTAGCTCTTTAAAGAGCATAGGTAAGATGGCCTTTAACTAAGTTCTGGTTCATCAAGGCTGTGATTATAATTATTAACAGATATTCACCATGGTGGGTCCCTTGGGTGTACATGGGTAGTTCTGTGATTCTTTGTTGTACTGTACTGTTTCCAACTTTTAGAAAGTTTCCTTTGACTCACAAGGGGAAGTCATGACCTAAGTAGGGGCACTCAACATCCCAGCAAAAGCCTAAGGAGAGCTTCAGGTTTCTGCCAAGACCTGCCTGGGCTCTGCTGAGAAGACCAAACTCTTTAAAAGAGCAAAATGTTTTGCAATGTGTTCGTGTTACCTTATACTTATCATTATATCTACTTTATTTCTTCACAGAGTCTATAATCTCTGAATCATAAACTCCTTTTTAAAAAATAGAGTCAATAGTTGATATTACAGGAAATGGCAAGTTAGTTTCGGTTGAATAAATGATTGTTCAAGGGAAGTGAAACTCCTTAAATGACACAAAAATAACCTTATATTCATTTTATATTTCATGGGAGCCTAGGATTTTAATGCGAGAAAAGAAAATGATTTTGATTGAGACTATATGTTAGTAATTTTAATTCAAATATTCAAAGGATGTAACTGTCTTGGATACTTCTCAAAAATAATTTTGGAATAACTAATTTAATAAACACGTACACAAGCAAAACATGGCATTGAGTGTTCAGCATCCAGTCTACCGTCAGGGACTCTCAGGTTAATATGTGAATTAGACCATTCATATTTTTATAAAATCCTTGAACAAGCTTGGTTCTCTAAGAGCATAATCAGGGTTAGGAGACTCCATACAGTTAAAAATAGAGGCCCTCGCAGCATAAATCATCCAAGAGTAAGAATGAAAATGCTCCCGAGAGAAGGAAGAGCATATCTGAAGCCCCTCAGGCAGGGAAGGCTGCTGCAGGCTTACAGAGCTAAGGGTGCAGCTGCATGCCTGAACACAATCGGGAGCTTCTAAAGGATTTCAAACCGTCCATTTTATGACACTGAAAAATATTATTCTCGCCGCGTGGGAAGAGATAAGGACTGGGGAGGAGCGGAAATAGTAGGAGCCATTCAGAGCCCCACCCATGAGATTGCTGTGCCGGGAGCCAATGCGCAGGAAGTGTACATGGAGAAATGAAAGTAATTAAAAGATAGCTTGGGGGGCTGATAGTTTTTAATTCTTTATACATTCTAGATAGAAGCCTTTTGTCTGAGGGACAGTCAGCTAAAATTTTTTCCAAGTTTGTGGGTTTTCTTTTTACTCTGTTGCTAATTTCTTTAGATATGCAGAAACTTTTCAGTAGGATGAGATCCCAGTTGTTGATTCTTTCAAGTGTTTAAAACCCAATCCAAAAATGGGCAGCTGAGATGAATACACACTTCTCAGATAAGGAAATACAAATGGCAAGTAAATTCATGAGAAAATGTTCAACATCATTTGTCATTCGAGAAATGCAAATTAAAACAACATTGAGATTCCACCTGACCCCAGTAAGAATGGCTAGCATTAAGAAATC